ATAGATAGACTAGCTTAGCAACAACAGTTTTACGCCCTCTCCTTTCTGTATTTGAATTATTCTAGAACTTTGCCTCTCTTGTCTGAGAAATAATCGCGAAACTGTACGCTTGCTTAATAATGGACATACGGATAATCCGTTCCCTTGTATAATATTACTTCTGCTGTAACCTTTGACCTTTTGCCTCATATTTAAATAATTAGACCATTATTTATCTTTGTAATTGTATAGACTCAAGGTGTTCGCTAGTGTGTAGTGATGGGGGGGGGGGGGATAAAGCCCCTTGTATTGATGCAGATGCAACCAATTTGTGTCAAACCTGAAGGACCCTCTTATGTACATTGCGTAAAACCGTAATTTCTTTCCGACTTGTGATTTTCTTGGAGCTTTTTAAAGTGCTTGATTTGAAAATCAAAGTAGTCTTGGAACCCTGCATGGTGGAGGTGTGTCTCGCAAAATTTGGAAGTGTCTGGTTGACCCTCAAAACGAATCTAAATGAAAAGTGATGGTGAAAAAAGGAGAATGTTTGGATTTGGCAGGATGGAAAACATCCTTCACTTTAGATAATGAATTGTTCCAATTCAAAATATGCACAGTGATTATAAATTTGCATGAGTGGAAGAGTTCATTCAAATTGTGGGTTATCAGCTGAATATGGCAGAAGAAAAACACCCATCTTCAACTATTCCGAACATGCGTAGTGAAAGTTAAATTTGCATCAGTAGAAGAGTTCAAAATAGGATATAAAAGGGTGGAAAGCTGCATTTTCACTTAGTGTAGTGTTCCAAACGTGCACAGTGAAACGAGATACGGAAGAAACACAAGATGTGAACTTTGACCTCTTATTATTATATATAAATATGTATATTTTGGCTAATTACTTCAGTTATATAGGATACTAAATCGAGTGGTTTATAAAAATCTCATTAAAGTACAGCTCGGGATATTTCGTTTCTTTTTTTTTCTGTTGTCAGAAATTAAAGGAACCAACGGAAATCTGATTGGTTATTTGTTTAATAAAATCAACCAAACAAAGGTGAATGTTTCTAGCAGAAAACATCTGATTGGTCCATCCAGTAACTTAAGTCAACCAATCAAAGTTATTAGTGTTGTATATACAATTAGGATACAAGTACCGTATAATCGCGAATATATTGCGCATATGTATAATACGCACCCCTTCTTACCCAGAGTATATCTGGAAAGTCAACGTAAATAATTCGCATTGTCCTGAGGACAAAAATAAACAAGTTGGCTTAACGCTTAATGATCGTGAGTGGTAATCATTTATGATAAAAGTATATCAGTTATGATGTTTCGGACAACTGACCTAAAGAAATGAAATTATGAGCTGTATTTCAATCAGAGTAAAGAAGCGTGCCAAGATTGAATCAATTTTGATACAGTTTTCTTAAAATATTAAACACTTTATGTTGTTCCAGTAATTTTTGCATTGATTTTGAAGAATTTGTAATTTGCACCTTTTTTGGATTCATCGTCCCTGTCCAACAAGTTTAAAGTTTTCAATGAAAACTACGGAAAGGGTGAAAAAATAATAGCTTATGTGGTATTTTGCTTGAAAAATCCACATTTTCCCTCAAAATTGTTTAATTTATTTATTTTTTTGTGATGTCTGTAATGATAAATATATAGTACCTACATTTTACTTGGGGTTGTTCTTATTTATGGGATTAACGATAATCCCTTGAACTGGATTAACTTACTATTCTCGCTGATTTGGATTAAGCTAATCAATCGCCCGAACTGAGGGACATAATTTTAGAAATAATATGTTTAATATCAACCGCTATTTGCAAAACAAGCTGTCCTGATGAGGATTGTGTATCCGAAACACGTTCCTGCAGCAGAGTTGTTGATTTTAAGAACGAGCCTATAAGTGGCTCTTACAAAGGGAATACATGTCCGCTCCCAGTGAGGTCTCAAGTGGTCCGGAAGTGTCAGAATGATCTGCGGCGCTACCGATGTAGGCATGCTCAATTTAGTACAGCACAAAATTTTAAGATCAGGTTCAGGAAAATGGACACGTTCTCGCCCGATGGACTGTTATTTATGAGTGATCAGTGGTTGGGTAAGGGTTAACGAGATTAGTTAATCTCTAATCCTTGACAACCTGGCAAAACAAAACTGCCATTGTCCTAAATTGGACACGCTAAAACCGGGTAACCACCAAGACTAAACCCCAAACAAACCGTCACGTTAGAAACCTCGAAAATAAGCAATATATACCCTTAAATCCCTACTGTAGTATCACAGTCATCCATCAGCTTCGAGCAGTCAATTTGTCAATTCACCTCTAGTTTGGTCGCAGTCGCAACTTTTTAACATAAAAATGCAGAACATTGATTTAGTCAACCGAGATCCCAACAACATCAACGATCACATCGGGGTAAGTCAAATCGATACAGACTTCTTATGTGCATCAGGGATACCATTCTGATTCTCTAGTCTTTGTATTTGCATCAGGGATGCTTCCAATACCCCTTCTGAGGTGGTTCGTGTATATCAAAAAAAAAAAAAAAAAAACTAGATCACATTGTGATTGTCGTTCCATAACTTGGTACCAAGAGACTCGCAGACTCCGTTCCAACTGTAAGAGGTTATCACGCCAACCACATCCGTATTTTTTCATAATGAAAACTGAATCTGAACAGTTTAATTTATCGATACTTTTTCATTTTCAGGTTGAATTTGAAGATATCTTGGCCGAACCTGATGGTGCTCACAGTATAGATTGTGTTTGGAAAGCTTCTTATTGTTGTTTTAATTTCTGGAAGAATTTCTGGTATAAATTAGCTACTCTATGTTGTGGAATCTGTATAGCTGCTGAATGGGGCTGTGAATTTGCTAGTATCGCCTTTACTCATGTTTGGTTTATTACTCCATTATTTAAAGTATTAGAAATAGAATGTGGCTGTTTAAAGAAATTTTATGGAATGTGTGTCCATTGTTGTTTAGATCCATGCTGTGAATCTGTTGGACTCATGTGTAATGCCTTTAAAAAGGAATAGTGTATAATAATGACCCACAGGAATGAATGAAGAACGACCATTCTTTCTCTATGGACAACGCGGATATTCACTTTTTAGAGCCCCTGGCTCAACAAAATCTGAACCCTGTGTTCAATTCAAAGTGTAAATGAACGGCCATGTATACCCGACTGTTCATCCCAGTTCAATTAACTTTCAAATCTAAGATCATAAAATATTTTGTAATTTCGTGATAAGATATCTAATATATCTTTGTAAATATAAAGTCAAAATATTGTGGTCTCAGCTTTGATATACAGTTTTTTGATAAATGACATTTAAGTTTCCATATTTTTCATAGAAATTTGCCAAAACCGTGATAAATCTTATTGTATAATGTATTTATATTTTCCTGTTGTCAATAATTATCTTATTTATTAAACAAATTTGAATTCTCCTTATTCTTTCCATCATGATATAAGAATCATTCTGGACGTTAGGTATTTTACAATTGATGCGTTCTGGTCCTAGAGACATTCTGAACCCATTTTTGTCTTTTGCAACACAACTCTCCCATCCCGTCCATTATATACATAAGATATCCTAAAAAAAAGTCACTGTTGATGCCTAATCGAAACTGAGACTCATTCTGCTTAAAAGTTACAATTTGCCAACGAATTAATTAATTGTGGTCTGAAGAAAGTAGAGTAGCCTCCCCTTGTACTTAACAAGTTTTTACCGCCATTTTTTCGCGCCTTATTTCTTGGGAGTTTTAATAGAACGTACATGTCAGGTAAGACTTTAACTATAGGGGAGAAACATGAAAACTTTAAGGCTTTTGCATTCTGATTTATTCAAAGATTACAGGTTGAATTCCCTCTTTGCCAATTCAAAGGAACAGTAATGTGAGTAGTATAAGCAGGCTACACGTATAAAAATGAGAAAAACATCGTTACGAATCGTTGTAAAAACAGGACAAAACATCAATACATGTATAAGGAACGAATGAATTGCATTATCAGGTACATAAATCTTGCGAAAATATTCTTTGAGGTATAAACACTATCTTAGTCAAAACCATTTTGGCCCTACCAATAAGTGATAGCCTTAAAAGGAAGAATAGAAGAGATACGTGAACGTTTCGTTATATTTCATCATTGTGCTCTTGACCATTTTCTGACCACTACTTGTCTTTCACCTCACCTAATTGATTCTTGGAAAGGTCACTGTTAATATAGATCTGTTAGATCTTTCTAGAGGCATAGACTCGGAGTAGTTTAGCGACCAATTTGCCAAAACTATAAATGTCTTCTGATGGAGTTACTAACTGGTTCGGTAACATAACTCTACCCACCAGTTTTACATCTTGTATGTCCTGAAAGAAAAAGACACAAGAGTAAGTTTTACCCAAAGACGAAGTATGGTGTCCAGTGAGCAGTAAGGTGTGGGATAGTCAATAGAAAAAAAGCAGAAGCCGATCGGACCACCAGCCTTTTAGTAAATCATATTTACATAAAGTTCATAAATTTTTATGATCTCCTACCCTGTTTTCCTCTTTCAATAAAATGTCAGCATCATTCAAACCACCAACCACCAAGTTCTCACTGTGGACATGAGCCATAGCTCTGATGACCTTTTCTGCGATCCTCAGCATCTCGCCCGGAGTTAAAGACCGTGATGCCAACACTGTTACAAGACTGGTGTGGATGTCACCATCAACTGATCCGAACTGGAGATGTTCACTCTTCCACAAACTCGTCATACTCTTGATCAAGGCTATGAAATAGATATGAATGAATTTAATGGAGTTTTACGCCCTGCTTTCCTGTGTGGAATCAGTGTTGTCTTTGCATCCACTTTGCAAGGTCGTATTACAATACTAGTTAAAGTCGTTTTAATAGTGAGCCATTTGGTTAAATTCCCTCCATATGCTACGACATTTCTTTGTTGTCTGTTTTCCGGGTTGTCTCCCCTCACATACATTTAATGTACAAAGGGCAACCTATTGTATTGCTTACAAGTCAGAGAGAACATAATCATTATACATATACTTACATGAAGAGGGGTTTTCCGCAGAAGCCGATGGTCTTATATCCAATGCTTTCTTCGACGCTTTCTGGACAAATTGAAAATTAAAATATCATGACAATGTTAGAAACAAAAGCCCATATTTTGTTGAACCTTGGGAGTGAGTAATTTGTCACTATTTTTTTATTTTTATGAATCTGGCATACCACTTTCTTTAAAAGGACAATTTTGGCAAAACCTCATTCCCAGACTTTTTAATTGATATGAGATGCAAATCCTGTCCAAGAGCAATCCAGAATGTATTAAAAAGCGATTGAAGGACTTTAGGAATATTATACGTACCCTTTTCCCGAGGATAGAAGATATAGTATAAAGTAGAGGATTCAAGGCTGAATTGATGGGAAGAATGAACACAGCTGTCCAGGCGTAGACTTCACTATTGATAATTACATTGTTCAGCGTCATTAACCCTGTAACGAATTTGTAAAGTTGGTAAACAAAGGATGCGCAATGACGACAATGTTGCAAGGACAACGGACCGGCAAACATGTACCATGAAACGTCGAAAACCATACAATGTCGATTCTTTTATGAGTTGTTGATAGTCTATAATAAAGTATAACTTAAAAGGTAGTAGTCAAAAATGACTTGTTCTTACCCATACAGCAAATCGGAAACCAGCACACAAAATCCGTCAAAACGATCAATGACAATCGTCTAGCTACTTCGATATCCCTGTTTCGCCTCTCCTTACTCTGAGCGACAGCACCCGACTTCACCATTGACCTGTACATCATTATTTGTCCCAAACAGATCAGCAGGAAGGTGACGAAGTTGAAGAAGATGAACAACCCTGTAGAAAATTGCCAGCCTGAAGTTCTGTCCCTTGTCAATGGTAGCGCCAGACATATTCCTGGAATAAGTAATGATATAGGTTATGAGGCTTGAAAACTGACACTGGGTCAACTGGCATCAGAATTACATTGAGGATTGGACCATTGGGCAGATTAACAATAGAAGGTAACTTACCAGTACGACTGTAGAGTCTACCAGTAAATCCAGTTCCTGGTAGTATGGGTATCAGACCCATCAGAACGGAAAACAACCACACAATAGACACTCCAATCAGCGAGCTTCTTCTGGTGAACCTGTATTGTCCAAAAGGATACTTGATGATCAGGAAACGATCCAGGGTGATCAGGCAAAGAAACAACGCCGAGGCTTCGCTGGAGACTGTGGTCAAAATACCAGCTAGTTGGCAATACGGGCTGTTCCGCCACCAAGAATCGTTCCAAATGTACCTTCCACGAAACAAAGCATCAGCGGACGCAATTATCAACATGTAGATCCCCATCAAGAAATCTGAAATGCCCAAATTAGTAACAAATATGCCGTAACCGCGCTTGAATCCTGCTCTGTCGAAAATAATCCTGTACAAGATGGTCAAAAAGTTTCCCGCAACTGCCACCAGCCCTAAAATCCACATAAATATTCGCAAAGTCTCTCGCCTCATTAGATCCGTACAGGACGAAAATTCGTCTGCTTCCGGTTTACAGTTTTCGTCTGCGACTGACGCAGGTTTAACGCAGCAGAAGCGGTAAGAGTCGGTGTAAAGATATTCCAGTGTGTCCAAACCACTGAACAGACCACCAGAAAATGTTTCAATTTCTTGATTGCGAAGATCCAGCTTATTCAAAAGTATCAGTGATTCAAAAGCGCCGTCTTCTACAGTTTGTAAGGAGCCGTTGGTGAAGTAGAGTTCCTCTAAAGTATCCAAGCCTTCAAAAGTGTTTGCTTGCAAGGCGGTTATTGCTGTATCGTCCAGATGTAGAGCTGGCAACGAATGCAAGTCTCGAAATGCTCCTGGCTCGATGATTCTCAACTGCTTATTTCCATTTAGATTCAATGCTCGAAGTTTCACCAATCCAACGAACATTTCTGGCACCAGAGTAACAATTTTGTTATAGCTAAGGTCAAGGTGGTACAAGTTCACTTGGTGCTTGAAAGCATAAGCGGGGATTTCTTCAAGCTCCGTTCTGGAAAGATGCAGCTCTCCCAACAAAGTGAACCTTGCCAAATCAAATTCAGTGATGTTGATGGGATTGTTGTTAAAGTTCAAACTTTTAGTATGAACTGACAAATCGTTTGGAATATTCTCCAAAGCACACGTGACCTTCCCAGCATTACACGAACAAGATGGCGGACATTCGAAATTACACAGCAACTCATCGTCAGCTTGGGGACAGTTTTGTCGACCGTCGCAGACTTGTTCCATTTCCAAACAAACTGTTGAATCTTTACAACGGTAGAATCCTGGACACGTCCAATTACCTGGAATAGAAAGTTAAAATAGGACCAATATTGCAAAATACCCAGAAAGTAACCAGTGGTTGCTACATTTGCAGACATCCCTAGCTATGTGGACAGTTCAAGAAACACGTGGCACGAAAACGTAAAAGAATGGACATAATCCATCGCCCATTTTGAACTAGATCTGCTTAAATTACTTATATAAGGTCACCAAAGTGAATCTAATTTTCTGTTCAGAATTCTTCATTTGCCATACACGATCTGTTGAGATTCTTGTTTAAATCGTGTTCTGTAGACCTTTAGCCCAATAGCTTTAACGATTGTGAAAATTTATTGAGAACCCATTACATACCACAGAACGCTTCGTCCTCGTCTTGGTTATCCACACAGTCTCTTTTACCATTGCACACCAATGATATATGTATACAGTAACTGTTTCTACATTTCATATAACCTGGTGGACACTCAAAATCCTCTGCAAAATATAGAATAAAGCGTGATGTCCACATATGGAATGTTTAAAACCTCAGATAATGATGGAAAACAATGTGAGCCTATGCAGTGGCGGAGC